AGCAAGCTTCTGAACCGCAGCTCAGGAATAACCAATCCGATCGCAACCGAATTGGGGTATCATGCACACATAACACATAGCAAGCACATGCAACCCACATTAACACATTGGGAAGGGGGAGAAAGCGTATAACAAAACCTATGCGTGATCCTTGACATACTAAGAATAAACCTAAGGGGTTCATACTTCTTTCACCTAGGTCAACGGGCTACCAATTCAACTAGCATGCAATATATACGACTCATACAACCTATGAACGGTACCCGAAATATCAAACTAGACATAGGCACGATAGACGGAGTCCGTTGGGACCCCACGGGGTTCGGGGAAACATCAAACGGGGAAGCCAAATCCCAAATTGGGTACAAACCAGCGGGTAGCCGGTGGGTGAGGGGTCACCCGCCGGCGGCAGCTATTCCGGGCAGCGGGTGCCCGGCGGGCAGCTGCCCGCTGCCGGCGTTGCCCAAGAAGGCCGCGGGTAGGTGGCTGGTCCCCTACCCCCACCTACCCCCCATTGACTCTTTTTCACCAAAAACGCCCCGGGAACCTTTGTGGAACCCGAAATCTTGCTTAGACACTTTCAAACGCAATTGATAACACACGTAGACAATTAACGGATCAAAGATCAAGAAACATATGGCACATAACCTATCATGCTTTTCTAAACATAATCAACACCCAATCATGCGAATTCCCACCCAATATACCAAGAATAATTCCATACGATACAACCTAGGGTTCTAATCATTTTTAAATCAACAAGGACACAATTCATCTTCTAATATCAAGATTCGGTAAAAATATCACATAAACATCAAGAACATCCTACAATCATCAAGAACATCATATAATCATCAAGAACGTCATATAATCATCAAGAACACCATAATTATCAAGAACCTTTCATCATCAAGATCACCCATGGAATCATCCCATCAATCATCAATAGTAATATCACAAATCATCAATACACAATAATATGGGGAAATCCTAAGAGGGGAATCATAGCTATGAAAATAGGTTTTGTTGAGACATGGGTTACCTCTTAGCCTTAATTAATTCCTTGGCTATGAAGGGTCTTTCTTGAAGCTTTCTTCTTTCTTGATTTCTCCTAGGGGAATTCTTGGAACTTCTTGTGTGGTGAGGGATTATTGTGGTGGGGATTCTAGGTGCCTCCTTATGTTCCCTATTTATATATCTAAGAGTCTTACTTAGGCCTAATTACTATAGGTTTGCTAACTCTATTCCTTTTGGGACTATGGATTGGGTTTAGGGATAAGGGCCCATGGACTATGGTGGGCCTTTCCTAATTTAATTATTGTGATTTAATTCTTTCTTTTGGGTAATTGGTTAAATGATTAATTGGTTTTAGGGATCGTAACACGGGGTGTTAAAGTTACTAGCTCTATAGAGTTCATTCCTTCAACATAGCTTTTCCCATATTCTCGGTAAACCTTTGCTGTGGCATTGTATTTGACATCTAAGTCTGCATCCCTTCCTATCATCGAAACATCTTTGATTTTCTCTTGCATTTCTTGATATTTGGTAAGCTCTTGTTTCCTCAGATTTCTTGCTTATTCTTGTTCAAGCCTTTTAGCTTCATTTTCTTCTCTTATTCTCTTGTTCTGCTTCAATTGATAATCTTGCCTAGTGTGATTATCCTTTTTCTTCAACCAAATTGGCATATTGTATCCTTCAAACCTTAATCCACTTCCTTCTTTGTATTCTTCATACTGAACGAATATTCCATATCCATCCATTGTTACTTTGTTATCTCTCATCAACTTTCGTCAAAGACTTGTCTTCTCTCGACGAGATAGTCCTGCAAAAGAATACCTAGAATGTGAACCATAGGAAGATCTCGGTCTTATTGACTGTCGTCGAAACTTGGAAGGTGCTTGCTGTCTTGATTTTGATGGTGTTTGCTGCTGAGGCTCGAAAGAAGGTGCGTTGCTTGTATGGGCGAGAGTTCCTTCATTCCTTCTTTCGGGTTCCTTGCTTCTTCCTTGATCTGCTTCATCATCATCATCTTTTCTGTGTCTCTTTTCCCCCTTTTTGGCATCATCACCGTCAATGGGAGGATGAGAAGGTTTAAAAAGTGAATCAACTTTGATAGAGAGATCCATGACAAAGTTCAATATCTGCAGCTGATAGTCGGCCATGGCAAAGATATTGTCGCTGGCTATGTCGACCTTCAGACACAAGAGATCTACCCGCTCTTTAAGACCAAATTGAGAAAGTTTGAGCAAATGTTGTTCCTTTGCAATTTTCTCAAGTAGTTCTGTCTGACGGCTTAGATCAACAGCCTGTGGAGCTGGAGGAGGGGATGAATTTGCCTTCTGAGTATCCTTGTTCATGAAAGAAAGCTGCGTTGTGATGTGAGATATTTGAGTAGACAAGTGTGTCATGACCTCAGCATTCTCTATGCGTTGTTCATTGTAACATTGATGCTGCTTTTGAAGTGCTTCAATTGTCCGTGTTAGAAGTCTCAAGACTGCATTAATATCAAGGGTTTTAGTGTCAGTCTGAATGCCCTGCTCAGTTTGGCTGGGGACGACAGGTGTCATTTCCAATGATGTTACTCTTTTGTCATCATGAGATGTTTTCGGGATCCAAGATTTGCCATCCTTCGAACGAGAGTAGAGATCTGTAGGAGGAATTGTAACACCCCCGATTTTTACCACATTTTTAAAACTTAAATCTCAAAGGTAAGCATCTAATCATCAAGACACAAATCAAGCGGAAGCTATATAACGGTGAGCGTTATACCACACCCATAAACCATGGGTGCACAAGCTAGTCAACAACAATCTATCAAAGCAATAACAATACTAAGGCGCACAGGCCAACAAAGGATAAACGTCTAGCATGTGATCTATTCTATCTAAGTCCACATCTAGCGCACTCGGCATCTACTCAAAACCAATAAAATCAAGGGATAACACCTGGTCAACGAACATTGTTGGTAACCCATCAATACGCGTTAAATATCATAGTATAGATAGTTATAATCAAAACCATTTGAAACGGGAATACAATATATATATCATTTCAAAACCAAGGAGGGAAGTCACATCAGAGACTCATCAATCACTCTCAATAAAACGAGGATCATCAACCTCACAACACACAACAAGACCACAAACATACTAGACAACACAACTCAGGATGCATCCTACTGATCACAAAGGAGAATACATCAAGACATACTCATAAGCAAGGAAATCAAATTCACTGCTCATAAGCAAGGAAATCACATTCATACGGTGACAACTACATGTCACAAGTTTCATAGTTCCAACCTTATGCCCTGTTCCAACCTTATGGCTACCCCCGGCCTTATTTCGGTTCCAACCATTACCTCCTAGTGCCACCCTGTACTTCTGAGTCCAACCTTTTGCCTCCAAGAACCGCCCCCCTCCCCCCCTCCCCCCCCCTCCCCCCAGCCGACACTCCTATTCACCGCTGATCTCTCAGTACACGAGGGTACAATTAAATATCATAATCACAAAACCGCCAATCTCATGAGCAAAGCTCAAGTAACAAACCACCAATATCAATCATAGTCACACAAGGTCATCATCATTACCAAGAAGGCTAAGGCTCAACAATAGCCTCAATCAAATATCAACAAACGGTACACCAATTTACATACGATCATATCATAGGAATCAATCAAGGGATCATAATAAAGACATGAGACCATACTTAACAATCATAGTGTTACAACCCAACACCAAATGATTGTCAACACAAGTTGCCAATCTAATACGAAGGAACAAACCACACATACTAGCATATCAACATCAAACTAGCATGCTCGTCAAACGGGTAAACCAAAATTAGTTCCAAAGAACATTCAAGACTCACATTAGCCCAACGAATCACAAAGTTGGACCCTTAGCACACTTCAAGACACCAAATCCTACATGGATTCCTAACACGCCGTTCTAGATATACGAGACATCAAGGAGACTCACAAATGACCCAATAAATCAACATCGAGAGGTCAAAACATCAATGCCGAAACGAAAGAATCACGGGGAACAAATCCCCGGCCAACAACCATAGTGTACCCCGCGGGTGTGGCCACGGGTGGACCTCCACCCGTGGTTCCGCCCGCGGGTACATACACCCACGAGACCACGTTCCCCGCAGGTGGGGAGGCGGGTAGAGCCCTGCCCGTCGTTCCGCCCGCGGGTACACCCCTGTACACCATCATTTCCCTTCGGGGAAAATCAACAACAAGGCCAAGTTCAAGTCCAAAACACCCAAAATCTCACACACAACAATAATATGACTTGATCCCAAGAAATAGCCAAGCAATGGCATTCAAGAACCCTAAGAACATGCATCACCACAAGATCATGCATCAAATCTCACAAATCACACAAGAATCACAAGTAGAAGTCAAGAATCTTCATATAAGTAAGAAAATGGGTTTTGTAAAGCATGGGTTACCTTTGTAGCCTAACAACTTCCTGTTTTCATCCTTAAAAGCCTCTCCTAGTGCTCCTCTTCGACACCATGTTCTTACACAAACCAAAACACAACAAAGATCCTAACTTTAGAAAAAGACACCTAAAAGAAGGTTAAATACACCAAAAAGCTAAGGATCTTACCCTTCCCTATGCTCAAGAAGGAGAAAGTAGGAATCTTGGTAGAAAATCTTGCAAAGCTTGGATGCTCAATTTCTTGCTTTATGAAGAAGCTAAATCATTTTAGAGAGAGGCTAGAGTTTTTGAGTTTTTGCTTGAAGGGTGAATGAAATGAGAGAGTCTTGCTACGTTAGCTTGAATCACAAATCTTAGCTGAAAAGACATTTCTACCCTTACTAAAGTTGGAAAGACAAGGGAACAAAGGCACAACTCAATAAGCACAAGGTACAACCTTTTAACTTAAGTAACTAGTCAAGATCTAGTCCCTCGACTATTAAATTTCAAGATTTTTAGAAATGTTTTATCAAGGAAAATTGGATTAATTCTTCAATTAGTCCTCGATTAGTGGTTGGATTTACGAGGTGTCACAGGAATCATCCTAGTTTGCCCGATAACAGGAGGTTCATCATCATTACTACCATCATCGCTGGAACTGGCATTAGTATTTGTACCAGCCTCTTCATTCAGGTCATTATGATCGCCATCTTCATCGTTGTCATCACCCTTATCATTATCATTATCATTATCACCATCATCATCTCCTTCACTCATTTCATCAGTCTCATCGTCTTCATCATCATCTCTGTCTTCTTCATCATCATCTTTCTTGTAATCACCATCATTTTTCTCATGTGGCTCATCAATTTCTTCTTCCTCATCATTTTCCTCAGTATCTTTGTCTTCATTATCTTTCTCATTCGTACCAGTCCCGACAATCTCTATTTCAGAATCATTCTCCTTAGAGACTTGCACATCTCGTGTATCAGCTGGTGGAGGAACATGTTTCGTGCCACTGGTACTGCAATGAGGGTCATTTTTATAAAGCTTCTCAAGCTCAGTTTTGATTTTGGATAAATGTATGACATCTCTCAGATTCTTCATTTCGGTCTCGAAGATTGGATCATCATATGAAGGTTTCACGATGTCAAAGGAACAGCCGTACCATTCACTTCAAAAGAGATAGTGGATGCATCGTCGGATACAGTAGCATTCAAGTAAAATTGTGTGACATCAAAAGGGTAGAAGAAAGTGTAAACATAAGTCACAAAGCTATATAAACCAATTTCCTGTAACAGACGGATGATCGATTCTCCGAACTTCTTGTTTATAACATATTGGAGAAATCCATGAGCATCCCACATGTATCCTGTGACACCCCGTATTTTTCTAAAATAAATTATAGTCCCGATATTAAATATTTTTACTAAAAATATTTATATGTACCTAATTATTTGTAAAATGGGCTCGAGTCTATCTAATATTGTGAACTAGTATTTTGTATCCAAATACTCTAAGCCCAAAATGATTTTTAATTCCTAAAAGCCTAGTATTTATCTTTAAGCCCAAAATGTATGTAGTGGGTATATTTATATTCCTAATCCTAAGTATATGTGCATAAATATTTTATAGTCTATGAATTGTCTTGGACCCAAACTATCTAAACCAAGTTGAGCCCATATGCCACGTGTCATTCTTGAACTCAAAAGAATTACCCAACCTTCCTAATATGGCCCATCATCCAAGAATAGCAACCATGTCTACCTATTGACTTTGTATGTAGAAATTTCGTAGCTTTTCCCTTCCACCTTCATACGCACAAGCAGCAGCCAACGCCCTTTCTTCTCGGCTCTTCCATCACCAACAACATCATCTTCTTCGCCACTCCACACCTCACCTATCTTCACCTTCATTCTTTCTCATTTTTGTTCTGGTTGACGGGTTCATGAAGTAACACACACGATTGTGGGTTCAACGGAGCTTAGCGACAGCCTAGGCGTTAGTTGGGGTCTCTTCCGGCGAATCTCGAGCCAGCATTGATGAAGTGGGTGGCGGCGGTGGTCGGACGCTACGGTTGGGCAGAGCTCCAACGAAGACCGGCGACCAGTCTCTCCACCGTCTCCTTTGTTCCGGCGAAGCGACAGCGGACCTTGGATGACATCGGGCAGGGGGCGGTGATGGCAGTGTACAAAGGTGGCAATGGCTAGGCGCGGCGGCGACGGAACCCGGCAATGGCGTTTCTCCTCCGTGTCCGGCGAGATAGCATCTCCGGCAAGTGTCGGCCGTGGTGGCGTTGGTCGGCTCTCCAGCAGTAGGCAGGTACACGGGTGGTGTTGTGTACGTCGTTCCACTCGCGGCTTTCATGGCAGTGAAAATCGAAGAAGATGGTGAGTTGCTTTGTTGTCTTAGTTATTTGCTTAGTGTTAGTTAGTTTGTTGTTGCTTAAGTTAATAAATGGCGAGTTAGTTTAGATGGTAAGGCTTTGGTTGTGATTAGGAATTGGCTAGGGTTCAATTCCCTCTTAAAGCTTGAGTTTTAAGAGAAACCTAGCGTAGATGGTTAGGTTGTGGTTAATCTTAAGATAGGTTTAGGTTTAATTCCCCTTATTAGTTATTTAATGTTTTAATTAGTGAAGATACGGTTTAATCCACTGGTTCACGGTAGCATGGCTTTATGAGTTGAGACTAAGTTTGGCGTTGTTTTTGGATGGTTAAGCAAATGAGGTAACCCATGCTATACAAAACCTATTTTCTTACTTATATGATGATTCTTGGTTTTTACTTGTGATTCTTGTGTTGATTTGTGAGATGCAAAGGAGGTAACCCCTATACAAAACCTATTTTCTTACTTATATGATGATTCTTGGCTTCTACTTGTGATTCTTGTGTCGATTTGTGAGATTTGATGCATTGTCTTGTGGTGATGCATGTTTAGAGCTTGTTCTTAGGGTTCTTGAATGCCATTGCTTGACTATTTCTTGGGGTTCAAGTCATATTGTTGTTGTGTCTGAGATTTTGGGTGTTTTGGACTTGAATTTGGACTTGTTGAAAATTCCCGAAGGGATAATTTGGGTGTATGTACCCGCAGGCTGAACCGCGGGTGGTTGTCCACCCGTGGCCCCACCCGCGGGGAACGTTGTTGGTTGTTGGCGGGGATTTATTCCCCGTGATTCTTTTGTATCGGTATTGATGTTTTGACCTCCCGATGTTGTTTGATTGGGCTATTTGTGAGTCTTCTTGATGTTTCGTATGTCTAGAATGGTATGTTAGGAATCCATGTAGGATTTGGTGTCTTGAATCGTGCTAAGGGTCCGACATTGTGATTTGTTGGGCTAATGTGAGTCTTGAATGTTCTTTGGAACTACTTTTGGTTTACCCGTTTGTTAAGCATGCTAGTTTGATGTTGAAATGCTAGTATGTGTGGTTTGTTCCTTCCTATTGGGATTAGCAACTTGTGTTGACAATCATTTGGTGTTGGATTGTGATCCCTTGTTGTTGAGTATGGTCTCATGTCTTTGTTGTGATCCCTTGATTGATTCCTATGATATGAACGTATGTAAATCGTTGTACCCATTGATTGTTACTTGATTGATTGAGGTTATTGTTGAGCCTTGGTCTTCTTGGTAATGATGATGATCTTGTGTGACTATGATTGAAATTGGTGGTGTGTTATCTGAGCTTGGCTCATATGTTGGAGGCTATGTGAATGAAATTAATGGTACCCTCGTGTACTGAGAGTCCGGCGGGATGTTGGAGGTTGTTGGAGGGGGGACGATGGTCCCTGGCGGTACAAGGTTGGACTCATAAGTATAAGGTGGCACTAAGAGGTAATGGTTGGAACTGAAATAAGGTTGGGGGTAGCCATAAGTTTGGAACAGGGCATAAGGTTGGAACTATGAAACTTGTGACATGTAGTTGTCACTGTGGCATGTAGTTGCCACTATGTGAAAGTGAATTCTTTGCTTATGAGCATGTCTTGATGTATTCTACTTTGTGATAAGTAAAATGCATCATGAGTTGTATTGTCTATCATGTCTGTTGTCTTGTTGTTGTTGTGAGGATGGTGATTCCTATTCCTTTTGAGAGTGTTTGATGAGTCTTTGAAGTTGACTCCTCTCCTTGGTTTTGAAATGATATATACTGCATTCCGTTTCAAAATGGATTTGTTTATACTTATCTATATATATTATTTAACGTGTATTGATGGGTTACCAGCAATATTCGCTGACCGGGTGTTATCCCCATGTTTATTCCCTTGTTCTACATATTTTGAGTAGATGTCTGAGAGCGCTAGACGTGGATCGCTAGATAGATGAGCTATCCTGTGTAGATGTTATCTTTTGTTGGCCTGTGAGTCTAGTATAGCGGCCTGTGTGCCTAGATACTTTACGTTTTGTTGAATTGTTAGTTTACCCGCCTGTGCACCTATGTTTGAGATAGGTGTGGCATAACACTTGCCGATTTTATATAGCTTCCGCTTGCTTTATGTCTTGGTGATTACATGTTTTCCTTTGCAATTAAGTTTTAAAAATGTAGTAAAAATCGGGGGTGTTACATATCCACATGCTATGAAGCGTTCCCTGGATTTGATGAAGGTTTCATATGAGGTTGGAAATGTTGGAAGCTTCTCGGCAGAAGTGGTTTGAACATCTTTGGGTGCTTTGGATTTAGACTTCTTCGCCATTGATAGTGAGAGGTTTGTTGGGAGGTTTTGAAGAGGTGTAAGAGGTTTTTGGAAGGGTTTGGGAGTGTTTGAGAGATTGTATGCTAATCATGGTAGGAGAGAAAGGTTATGAGAATGTGTTTGTAGGGTTAAATAGTCAATGTAACCGAATTCTTCGGGTCGGGTTGATGGGTAACCCGAAATTTTAATTTGAAAGGGTATGGGTAAGCTCAAATAGGGTTTTGGTTCACATCTGACAAGTTGCGTATATAAGGCAATATATCTGTGGGATTCATCTGATAAGGGAGATATTAGATAAAAAATTGTCATTCCACATTTAATGCGGAGAGAGAAACCCACTCGAGTATGGGACATGGGCAATAAATGCATGTCGTTTCCGCTGACATTATCAGGCATGGTCATGGATTAGTGGACCGAATTTCTCGGCCACACGATGCTATTCATGAACTGCATCGGACGGTTGGGATAGTTGCTCTCTAGTTAACATCGTTTCGTCTTCTTGCATAGATGACTTAATGAGGAAGAAATGATGTACACATCTCCACGATTCAAATAAATTTTCATGAAGATATATGCTGCTCTTTCGGGTGTTCGTGTTTCGAAAGGATCTTCATTCTTAGATACGAAACATGTAGATGATTGATTATTTTAGCATACAAAACATAGATACGACATAAACAAACTCAATCATCTAATACATTCTAGAACATAACGAAAGATTCCATTTCGGTTACTTCTTTGCTCTGGCCTTCTAAAGCTCAAGAGTTCTCTTCTTAATGTAGTCCTTTCGGAAGAGTTCGAAGGCGAGAAGATCAGTCAACACAGAGTCATATTCAGCATTAGATGTTTCGTCTTCGTTGTTTTCACAATTGGTGCAAGGAAGATCTCGAAGCCACAACACATACTCTCTGGTGTGCAGGGGATTGTTGATGAATCTTTCAAAAGGATTGGCCTCAGATCCATCTTGTGGAGGGAGTGCCTTGTTCTGGGTTGGTGGTGGTGAGATCTCATTTGTGGTAATGAGACTTGGACGCTTTTCCGAACTTTCTCCACTAGCATAGTGCATGGTTCCTTTCTTCTTTCAGTCGATCTTCCCGTTGTCTTTAGATTCCAATGAGTATACAATCTCGATGCCTTTTTCCATTTGAGAGGTTAGATGTGTGAAAACCTCGAATGGAATAGCTTGTTTATATATAGAAGAAAATAGGTCACGGGCTTGATGTCTTCATGACAAGATTGATCAAGATGACAACACTCTGAAGTTTCGAGTTCCAAGATCACGCAGAGCGTCTTTGTTTAACGAGGGAATAGTTGGTAGCTGTAAAGACAGTCATATCCACTTTCTGAAATATTCCCTTTTTGAAGATAATTCGTGTATAAAGGATACGAAACAAATAAAGTTTCGTCCATAGTGGAGTGACACAAAAACATAAGGATTTTTATTTTTGATAACCAGAGGGAACAACGGATAGGGTTACATTAACAGATTTTAAAACGAAAGAAGAGCTATTTCTGTGCTTTTCCTTTCGTGCTTTTGCAAGCCTCCTCTCTGGCCTTCAACATCTTTCCTAGCTCCTGACGAAACCATTTTGCATTCTTGGTTGTCTTTGAGCCAGAGGAAGAAACTGATGTCTCTTTTTCTTCGTTGCTCATGTCTGGTCAACTCGAATTTGTACTTAGATACTCGAGATAATCTCGATCAGCATAAGGATTCTTCTAGTCCTCCACAGTTGGGAAGGCACTTCTTCTGTCCACAGGGGGTGGTGCTTCTTGTTGATCTCCAGTAGGTGGTGAGCTGTCGTAGGCTTCCAAATTAAAACCTTACAAACGTAGTAGCGGGAGTAAGGATCGATCCCACGAGGAGTAACTAGTTTAACTTTTGTGCTCAAATTAAAGGTAGGGGGGTTTAGAATATATCGAGAATAAAGATAAAATAAAAGAGAATTTAAATAAACAAGAAATTTAATTGAACGAATAGAGCAATGAAAATAATATATCGAAAACACTTATAATAGGAGACCTTGGTTAGTAAAGATCCACCACCGGAATTCAACACTGATCATTGATTAATAAAGTAATTAATATGCAATTGAATATTTGTCGTGAAATTATTTCATTTCTGTTTTACCTTAGTTGTAGGTAAATAAAGCACAAGTGGTTTAATTACCCCTAACTACTAAATAATCTAAGACAAGCGCTATAGATTTAATTTAATAGAAGCAATAGGAAC